ATATATATATATATATATATATATATATAAATAAATAAATACTGAGATTGAAGTATTGCTACCTATCTGAATGGTAACCATCCCACTATTGCAACCAATATCCAAGCAATCCTTGCCTTCAAACCATTCTTTCTTGAAAACCTTTAGACGCGGATCTTCAACAAATTTTTGACCTAACTGCCACACAAAAAATAAGAAAACGCAACTAGGGGTAACGCACATTCTGTCGGCCGAATAAGAACGAATCATAAATTATTAGAGCACTGAAGTTGGAAAAACAAGCTTGACTGGTCTACACCAATTCTCGAAATTTTAAATTCTCGTTTCTATCACTAACCGATAATAGTTCGAATCTTAACCAGAAACCGGAGACAATCGAGAATACTTCTCAGAACTATATTTACCACGTGAAGACCCAAGAAGGGCAACCTAGAACTCCGAGGTAAGTGGGGAAGAATAGGTCAGGAGAAATACCCGGTATCCATAGTAACTTTGGTAATTGCCATAGGGAAAAGCATGCTTCTTGCGTCTTTTAGGATTTTGCTTGAGTTCAGCTTCTGCTTTCTCCTGCTCTTCCGCCATCTCCTTAAATCGCAACTTTAATTATCTCTTTTGCTGATACTCTCTGAGGTGAATACGAAACGTCGATGAACGACGGTAATCCCCGGCGGAGGAAGCGGTGGCAGCATGCAATGGAGGAACCAATATCTCTAGGGTTTAAACCAGCTTCCCCCAGCACTGTTATGCGCTTCCTAATTTTCGCGGCAAACCCATGGGCAGCGCGTATATAGGTCATTTTCGTCCTTTTCCTTCCTTTTTTTCCATCTTTTCCAATTAAATTTTCTCACACTCTATTTTGGTCACTAATTTTTTAATTTAAAATACTATTTTAGTCCGCAGTTTTCAAAACCCCATCTATTTTAGATTTATTCATTTAAATATTTAAATTTAGATTTCATATTTTTAGTAAATCTTTAAAGTTAGTTAAAAGGGTTAACTTTTATTTTAAAAAAAACATCTTTATTAGCCTTCTATCTATAAAATTTGGCAAATATATCTTCATGCAAACTATTATCATTATTATTATTATTATTTAATAAATTTTGATACAAAAAGATACATTCAACTATAATAACTCGTGGACTAAAACCTTTTAAAACCACTCCGTCAAGCCTAATAGTAAACTATCAAGACAATATTGTATATACAGGGAGAAATGGCACAACCAGATTGATATGACAAATGAGCCGACAACTAAACAATATTCGATGGATAGGATCGAAAATTGTTAATATAAAGTTCGAAAATTATCTCATAATTGTCTG